GAATTGCAGAGTGTCACAGTTAATGCAGCATAGGCAGCAGTCATTAAAGCCACTTCCTGGCCACAGAATTGCTAAACACAGACTGTCTTCCCTTTCAAACATGTTCTGGACTTTCTTCACTCAGTGCAAGCTTGAGTTCCTGTAATGTTAAAGTCAAATAAAGCAAATATAAGCACACACTTTCCCTTCCTCTGAAACAATGGTAAAGAGCTATCTTTTCCACCCTACTTCTCAGGAGCAGACTTCTTTTTCTTCTTAATTTCTCAATGAAAGCAGTTGTGAAAGCTCTTGCTGTCCAATCATGAAGGTTGAAATTTAGATCCCAGAAGACAAGCCAGGCATCCCTCATAGCTTTGATGTCTTCTTCTGGCCTTCATGCATACAAAGGTGTGAACAGACATGCATGCAAACCTTCATTCATATAGACAGACAGGCAGACAGACACACAATTTACTTTCTTCTTGCTGTGATAAAATGCACTGACATTGTTGGGAAGTCAAAGAGACAGAAATTTAAAGTAGCTAGTCGTTTCATTCACAGTCAAGAGCAAAGAACAATGAATTGATGCATATATGCTTATGTTCAGCTCTCACTCTTATGCAACCCAGAATCCCTGTCCGGGGAGTGACTCCACCTGCAGTGGCTGAGTCTTTCTACTAATCAAGATAATATCCCCAGACATGGGGGGGTGCTAATCTAGACTATCTCTGATTGAGACTTCATTCCTGGATGATAATGGCTGTGTCAAGCTGCTAATTAAATAATCGTCAATAGGCACATAATTTTTAAAAATGATATTAATACATACCACTCTCCTGAAAGTCATTCCCTCAAGTTCATGAGTAGATTTATTGACAAATTTCTTAGCCTTGGTGGGGGCCATGCCTCCAAACAGTGCTGTTTAATAGAACTTCCAGTACCATTGGTATGTTGGGATGGTATTCTTCCCAAGTTCCTTCATCCTTCCTTTGTTCCTTCATTCCTTTGTTCGTTCCTTCCTTTGTCTCTCTCTCCTTCCCTCCCTCCCACCCTTCATTCCCTTTCTTTCCCCTGTCTTTTCTTCCTCTTTTCCTCTCTTTCCTTCTCTCTCATGTTCCATTCCTCGCTTTTTTTGGTCCATGGTCTTACTTAGCTGCCCAGACTGGCCTCATACTTGTCATCCTCTAGCCTGGCCTTTTGAGCTCAAGCATTATAGGTACACACTACCACTCTGGGCCAGCTACATTGTATTTTGGGCTGCCTGGGTAGCCACTGGTCACATAGCACATGTGGTTGACTATTGAATACTTGAAATGTGGCAAATATGATGAAGGATTGAATTTTCAGTTAATTTGAATTTAAATGGTAACACGTGCAGTCGGTGGCTGCTACATGAGATGATGTAGCTCTAGGGCAGTCTGGGATGGTTTCCTCCTACTTCTTTCTGGAAATCTTATGCTCCTGGCTTTGAGGCCATTACTCATTTTATGGTTCTGTTAGTGCCCCTTTATCTCTGAACAATTTCTGTTCACTAACAACTGTCTGCGCTCAGCCCTATTCTTTTCCTCTTGCATTTTCTGCTTTAGGAAAGACAGCCCCTGGGCTCCAACCCTGATCTGTGTATTAATGACACTCAATGCTCTCTCTGGCTGCAGACCTGTTTCTAACCTTAGCCTGGCAGTGTCCTTTGGGCATTCTGCAGTCACTTTGGACCTGCAGTGACATTAACATCATCATTTCTTCCCCCCACCCCCCGCCTCTGCTTCACTCAACTTTTTCTTCTAGGGATCACTGTTTTTCTTCTTCCCTTTGGTGTCATGTCATTTGTGATAGAATGTCCTCTCTGTTGATCACCCCTCCCTAGCCATTGTAAAGTTAGGGATTCCTCTTGTACAGTTGTCTTGTTTTCATTCTCATGGGTTCTATCTCTTTATATTTATAAAAGTAGAAAAATATTTATTTTTGAAAAGATTGCTATTGTATCAAAAATGACAAAAAAGAAAGAAAAAGGAAGTAAAAGAAAAAAAAAGAAAAGAAAGAAATAAAAGAAAGGGCGTTTCTTAGTGCGCTTGACCTCCTGGAGGCCAGTTTTGTGTTTCTGGTGTGTGACTTGCCACAAATGACCTCTCTTACCCTCCTGCTTGGATTACTGTGGCTGAGAATTCTCAGTGTCTCCCCGCTTTAATCCACTGCTATTTCCTAAGCTTCATCCTGTCTTTCTTCTGTTCCGCTCATAAATCTCCAGTGGCACCTAGTTGTCTGATGAATTAAATTTGTCCCCACTGATGGGACACCATACCAAATCAATCTTTACTTCCCTGGTGTTCAACAGTCCTGGGGTGTGGGAGAAGAGGTCCCTGAAGAAGTTACGGTTGTGAACAGGCATCTACTTAGGTTGGTTTGAATTTTTTCAGCACTATAATTTCTATTGTTTTCTTTCTAGCAAACAAAACTCTAAAGTTATTATATTTTAGGTCATATTTTCTGGCATATTAGAGTGGATTTCACTTATTTTTGAGACATATGTTCTTCCTGTTTCATTTACTGAGATAATCGCTGTTATAGTTCTGCGTATTTTTTTTAAACATAGCATAAGACTCCACAAGTTAAGAATTCCCACTCTTAGGTCCTCGGAGAATACTGAACTTTTTCTCCATTGATGAAAAGCTATACTTTTCTTTGTTTAGAAAGATCAGTACTAATAAGCTCCCTTACTTATGGCTTCTTAAACCTAATCTGGGGATCATATTCAGTCACCTGTGTATGATGTACTGTATACCAGCTTCCACAGAGTCTTGACACGGTGATTCAATTAAAAATGGACCAGTAGGGCCCTGAGAGATGGCTCAGCAGTTAAATGTGTACTGCTCTCTTGTAGATCTGAGTTAGGCTCTCAGTATCTGAATTTGGAGTTCAACAGTCCCCTGTAACTTTGTTTGAGGAGGCCCAATGCCTTCTTTTGGTCTCTGCAGGCATGTGTATTCATGTGGTACATTATACAGATAAGAAGGCACACATATGCATAATTAGAAATAAATAAAACTGAAAATAAGAACATTATTTAATAAAGGCTTGTTTTATGTCTGTGGGAAGTAGGCTCCTCCATGGGAACTCTTGGATTTTGGGGTCTTCCATGGCTAGTGACTGCTGTGCTGTCTTTGTCTTGGGGACTGAGAACCCTTCTGGGTTCCCCTGCATTTGACAGAAAGCACAGCTCCCTAGCTCCAGAGCTAGGCATGATATCTCTTAGGCTGTTGAGGATTCAGGAGAAGTTATAAAAGAGGGAAGAGGAGGAGGATGAAGTAGAGGAGGAAGAGGGAGGATAATTTTTGTCAAACTATGTTTGGAGGCTTGAAATTTAATTTTTTGATCAATGAACATAAATTTAGTCTTTAATAAACTACGTTCTCAGCTCTGTCTTATTTATCTTTTAGTAGCTCCCTGGGCATAGTAAGCAATTAGTAAATGGTTGTTATTAGGATTCTGATGACACAGATGGCTTCCACAAACACATTCTCCACTTCTGTCTTTTCTCATCTTCCACACCAAGATCCATATTTCTGCTGGATGCTATACATGTTTTTGCACCTTTGCCTGGTGGTGTGGGTTTTGCCAGACCCGCCTTTCCACCTTTTTCTCCACCTATTAAAATCCTATTTACACATTTAGGACTAGACTTGTGTTCACATGAGATGGCTCCTGGTAGGAGCTCATTGCCTCTTTTCTCTGCCTTGTTTTTCTGTTCCCCATCCTTATACTTGGTTGTTTGCATAGTTTAAATCTCTTTCTCAAGTTTTATGGAGACTCTTGAAAACATTTATGATGTCCTCTATGGCTATTTTAGAGTTGTGCATGTATCATGCACACAGTCAGATGCATATGGCTCAAACTGTGGTGAGATCCTAGAGTCATTCATTCTTCACTGACCTTCTGGAACTGTAGCGTGAGTACCATAGACCTGTCCATGTGCCCAGAGGTCCCATGAGGTCCCAGAGGTCTCATTGCTACTGAGCTGTGAGGTTTGAGCCATCATTGTAGACTGGGGCTTGAGGTGTACAGTTAATGTACATGGGTACCTTATCCTGTTTTCAGAGAGCTTCAGGGTTTATAATGATGATTCATTTGAAATGCATATTATTATCATAAGATAGAGGTCCACCTAGTCTTCAAGCCACAATGATGGAATCAAGAGAAGATGATACTCAGATGATTGGTATTCACTTTGTGAGGCAGGAGCTGGGAAGCAACAGGCTGCTCAGTGTCTCTGTGTCTCAGTTTCCATATCTGTCAAGTAGAAAGGATATTATGAGGGCTGAGTTTATGCATAAAAAGTGTTTATGATATCTATCATCCATCATCTATGTATTTATATATGTATGTATTTATTATCTTTCTTTTTATTATTTATGCTCAAAATGCTCATTCCATTTTACATACCTATTTAGTATTGTTTAATGAGTAATTTTGATGATGTTGCCAATGCCATAAAGATATAAACCCTCAAGCCCACACAAGCCACTTTTCATCCTGGAGAGATGAAGGAAGTATCAGTAACCTCCAACTTTAAACAGGACTAACTTAGTTTGCATACAGTCCTTCTCATGCCTTACTGTAACCTGCCATTCCAGGCCAAATGGCATAATAATAGACTTGGCTCACCTCCATAGTGGATTGTAGGGATTGAAAGCAGATATGAACAAAAACTTCCCTTTGCTTCTGCAGTGCACCAGTTCCGGGATGGTGGTAGGGGACAGTGACAATGGCAGTTCCATGGTTATTATAAGATACTTACATCAACAGACTTGTCTGTCTCACATTTCAAAGGAACATGTGTGCAAAGAGACTCCCTCTCCTTTAATGATTTTGACATTGTCACATCATACCCAAGTGCAAAACTATGACAATACCTCTTGTCTCAGCTGTCAAAAGTACCATGTAGGGACACATTGCAGTTGAAAAGAGAGAATGGCCTCTTTATGGTGACTGGCTTGGAATTATAAATATTTTCATTTCTCCCGTAGGAGATGGCTCGTGGAAGAGAGGAGACAAACACGACTTTGAAGCTAAGCAAGCATACTCATCCCTCCAAACAGTCACCCTACTGAGGACCGTGAAACCTGAGTTTGAGAAGTTTTCCATGGAGGTGAAAAGTTCTGTTGAGAAACAAGGGCTCAATGAGGAGGATTACGTAAGTGCTTGATTATGAGCCCCGCCCTTCAGCATCCTGAAAACAGGCTTCTAATTAAACCAGAGGTGACAAAGTATCCCATTCTGAACCATTCAAAAATTTCGAGTTCAGGTTTGAATGTCACTGTTGCCTTCTGTGTGTGTGTGTTTTTTTTTTCCTGACCACTTTCCCTTCCTCCTCCCCCATCCCATCATCATTCCTGCCATTCACTTACACTTCTCTTTTGCAACAGCTGCAGGGTGGAAAACTGCCTTTTCCTGGGGACCTGCAATTGCAGAGCATGCTGTCTGTAGACTAAGCCAGGAGGGTGGTGGGAGGAGGCAGTTGAAGGAGTGCCCAAGTTTTGCACGGCTAATTTGTCCAAGCCTTGGTGGCAGAGATATTTTAGGTTTTGGAGGCTCTCTCTTTTGACAATCCGTGTCCTCTTCTTGGTTGGTCCGCTCCTGTCTCTTGCAGGGCAGTGGGTTGTTTCTTCTGCAGCAAGCTGCTTCCTACTTGGGTGTTCTAAGTCTTCCCACTCAAGTAGTGCTGTTAGTTCTAATTCATTTTAAAGGAGCTCACTCCTGGGCTAAGGGTCAAGCCCCTCTCTGGGTGCTACTGTTTGGGCAGCCTTTGTCACTTTTAACTATGTTTCTGAGATGTTCAGTGCCATAATGGTGAACCCTTTCTCGGGACAGGACTAGTAAAAGGGGGTTGAGTTGGTGGGCTGGGGTGGGTGTGCAGGTCTCTCTTCTCTGCTGATCATGAGAATATGAAGATATTTCATGTTTGCCTCTGTATTATTTTACCTAATGGTCTATATTAACTTTATGATTTGAAAGCTCAGTGACAATTGTCAGTGTGGTATGTCTGGATTTCTCCCTGAAGTTGTTAAGTTCAATTATTCCATCATATGTTGTCTGACATTAATGAGACTTATTTGACATTTGGCTTCTTGGATATTCTGGATTATCATTTATTCTTGGGGAGAAACTTAAATCTCATTTCAATTCTAGTCCAAGCAAAATCTCATTGAGAAGACATTGCTACTGCAACAGTTCATAGTGTTCTCCAAACCCAATTCTACTGTTTTTAAGAGTATTTTCAACTGCTTGACTTTTAAAATAAAAAAAATTATAATTTTACATAGAATTGAGGTAGTTATAATAATTTATTCTAATTCTGAAGATAAATTCATTTTCCTTTCCTTTTTCCCCTTCAGTTCTGGGAGTCAAACCCAGGGAACTCTCTCTGTCTCTCTCCCTCTGTCTCTCTCTGTGTGTCTCTCTCTGTCTCTGTCTGTCTATCTCTCTGTTTTTCTGTCTCTGTCACATTCTCTCTCTGTCTCTCTCTGTGTTCTACCACCCAGCCCATCACTTTACCTCTTTCTATGGTGCTTCTGAGTACTAGCTGTTGCTAAGGTTAGTCTGCACAGGTGGCCGTGGTGTGTTGTGGGATCAAGCAAAAGAAGTAGAGTCAGCAGCTTGGGCCCTCAAGGAATCTAGACCAGTGCCATGGGATGCCTCATCAGTCTGAAGGCATCTCGCAGACTCAGCTTTCCTTCAGGTCCCTTAGCTTCTCATATTTGCATTCATGGACTGTTAAATCTGTGTATACAGAAATTAAGTTCACAGAGCCTCGAATGGGCTCTGCACCTCTGTCTTTATCTTATACCCAGCAAGTTTTATGGACCCATTAGCTCTCATCTGCATGTGTCTCTGAGCAGGATCTGATTTTTTTTGTTTACTTTTAATGCTTCTATCTCTTAATGGTTATGGTACTTTATCTACTGCTTAATTAAAATTGCATTTAGTTGAAATTAGCATATTACATTAAGTATGTTGAATGAAAATAAAGTATATCAAATTATAACTTTTATGGCACTGGCAAGGATCCCAACATGGTACTGAGTTGTCTGAACTTTAAAATGAAAGAGCATGTCATAGCTTTCTTACCTGTTTGTGTCCCTACCAATGACATTATTCTGTCTGTCTGGTGCATGAAGCAAAGTACTTACTTATAGGGGGTTGAGAGACTATCTCAGATTGAGAAATTTCCTTTTATTTTTCTTTGTTGAAGGTTTTCTGCTTTTCTTAACTGACATGTTTTCTTAGGATCACTGAAACAAACAAACAAACAAAAATGACACAAGCATTAAGGATTGCATTGTCCAGGATGAGGAAAGACCTTGTGCCTTTGAAGTTTTGTTTTAGCATTGGAAACTGAATGAAATTCTTCATTCAATTTTACATTTATTAGAGTCACATTCATATTAGCATGCTGCCAGCACCCCTGGAAAAGTTATGATCTTTTCAAAAGTGGAAATGTATGAAATTAAATTTTTTTTAAACAAGCTATACTGCAACATTGGAAGGACAGAATAACAATGATTTCTTTTAATAGTAAAATGATCTGACTATTTAATGGGACAAAGATTTTATATTTTTGCTTGCTAAAGTTGGATATGTTAATTCAATTTTTTATGTGTATGTGTGGGCATATGTGTACTCAGTCAGGCATGTGTGCCTGTGTGCATACATATATGCTGAGTGGTTAGTGTAGGATGTCTTCCTTACTCTCCATCTTATTTATGTATTTAGTTATTTATTGAGATAGTGTTTCTCACAGAACCTGATGCTTATTGACTCAGCTAGAAGGGCTGGTTAGTAACTTCCAGGAGTGTTTCTGTATCTGCTTTCCCTAATCTGATATTACAGATGCATGCTGCTATGTATGCCTGGACTTTTACATGGGTGCTGGAGGTTGAACTCAGGTCCTAAAGCTTTTACAGTAAGAACTCTACCAAATGAACCATCTCCCTATCTCTGATTGATATAATTTTGTTTTTGTAAAAATTGTCTTCATCTCTATCACTTGCTCCCTCTTTAACAAATATTAGCAGTTCAATTAAGAAAAACACGGAGGAAGAGAGTCATTTCTTATTGATGGCGTGGCCAGCCGTAGGTTCCCCATACTCCAGCGGAGGGCATGTATGTGTAGGCAACAATAACTGGATCTAGTGGGTTATTAAAAAAAAAAAAGATATGAAGTCAGGAAGGGGTATGTTTGGAGGACGTGAAGTGATTAGAGGTGGGCAGGAGGCAGATAGGATCATTTTTATTGTACATATGTATGAAATTCATAAAAATGAAGGAAACAGTGACAAAAAACTAGGAGTATAAGATGCCACACAGAGAGATCCCTGCATAGAATGCCCAGCTTCTCCATGGTAACATTTGGGAAGGTTATCTATTAAAAGATGTCAGTCAGGGTTTTGACACTGAAAAATGCACCCAAAACACTCAAGATTTCTTGTTTTACCAATGCTAGTGTGTGTGGTTAGCTAGTTCTATGCCTTCCTTATTACTTGTGTGGATTTTGGTGTTTGAAGTCCATCCAATGCCTTGACTTTTTTTTTTTTTTTTTTTTTTAACTTTTGAGATTAGGATCTCATGTGGCCCAAGCTAGCCTTGAACTCACTATGTAATCAAAGATGTCTTTGAACTCCAGATACTCCTGCCTCAACCTTGAAAGGGCTGGATTACAAGTGTTGTCCACCATACCATACTTGGCTGTATGACTACTGTGACAATCAGTTTCTTCATTCTCTTATAAGGTTATATATTAGTTGCATTGCTCATTGCTGTGTGTGGTGATTTGATAAGAATGGCTTCCATAGGCCCATACACTGGTCATCAGGGGGCAACACTATTTGAAAAGATTTGAAGGATTGGGAAGTGTGGCCTTGTTGAAATTAAGTGTGGTCTTGTTGGATAAATTGTGTCATTGGGTTGGACTTTGAGGTTTTAAAAGCCCATGCCAGATCAGGTGTTGTTTCCCCTCCTTCCCTCCTTCCCTCCTTCCCTTCGTCCCTCCCTCCCTCCCTCTCTCCCTCCCCCTTCCCTCTCAGCCTGCAAATCAGGATGTAGCTCTTAGCTAATGGCTCCCTTACCATGTGTGCTGCCATGCTTTTTGCCATGATAATGATGAACTAAATCTCCAAACCTGTAAGCAAGCCCCCAATTAAGTGTTTTCTTTTTAAGAGCTGCATTGATCATGGTGTCTCTTTACAGTTATTGAAAAGTGACTAAGACACAGTGACAAAAGATCCAACAGAAGGAACTTAAGGAAGAAAGTTTGTTTTGGCTCATGGGTATGGTACACCAGAGTGAAGAAAGCATGGTAGCAGGAGCATGGTGAGGCAGTGGGCACATGGTACACATAGTCAGGACACAGATGGATCAATGAGGTCTGCTGGTCAGTTCACTTTCTTCTTTATGTATTCTGGGGAGCCCAGGCCATGAAATGGTGTTGCCCACATTTAGGGTGTCTTTTCACCTCAATGAACTCAATGAACTCAGCCTACAGAGTGAACCTGGTAGAAGTCTATGCCATTTCCATGTATCATGCTTTAATGTGGCCCAGTGGCCATCACTGAAGGCAGTATGCTACAGTGGTTAAATCCACATCTTTGAGTCTCAGGTTATAGTGCCTGTCTGCAATATCAGCACTTTGGGACCAGAGGCAGGAGAATTTTCAGTTTGAGGTCAGCCTAGGCTACATAGTAAGACCTTATCTCAAACAAAACAAAGCAAACAAAAGATGACATGGAGTTGCACAGATGTGGTCCTGCCTTTAAATAATTCTTATCTTGGACATATTTGTAAATTCTGCCATAGTTTATTGACTAGAACATGAAGGAAATAACTGGTAAAAGACCCAAGAACTAATATAAGTAGTATCCATTGAATCACTACACAATAACTACTGTTGTTCTTATTTCTTACATTCCTGGCTTGGTGTTCCTGATGCCTCATGCCCTTAGTGGTTCTACTTATTGTTCATATTCAGGCCAAATACCACTTTCCCAGGATGGTTTGTCCTGGCAGACATACCACCTCCCCGTACAGTTCCTTTCCATCACAGTACACCTCTCTGGTGTGATTACACATCTATATGTGGGATTTTCTGGTGGACTTTGTTGTGTGCCAAGCTCTGTGAGCAGGAGCCATGTCTATTTC